CCCCAAAACCCCAAAACCCCAAAACCCCAAAACCCCTAAATTCATATAAAAAATTGTATAATAAATAACTGCTTTATGGAACAAAGCGTTACTCTTCTAAAGACTGAAGAGGCCAGGCTAGACCAGCTCTATCATTCCAGGTGTGACGAAGACCAGAGGATGGACTTCACCCAGTTCTTGCTCTTTGTACTAGACAGAAGTATTATTAGCAATAAGTTTGGACTTGAAGTGTTCTACCAAGCGTTTAAGGAAGCAGCCCAGGATGGAGATTACCTTGATATTAAGAGCTTCAATTATGCCATTGTGTGGCTCAGTAAGATTATATTCGCAGATGAGTATAATCCAGTTGAGACTATGTTCACAACTGTGCTGATGGATAAAACGATTACGCACCAAAAGGACCTTGTTGGAGGAAGAGTCCCAAGCACTGATAAGGATACTCTAGCTGTCTTATCTGAAGAAGCAGTTCTGTTTTACATTGCTTACATGGACAGACTCAAGATCTTATTTGCATCTTGACATCATAATAACTCAATGGAGAGCAAAAGAAGAGTGAATTGGAAAGAACTGAGTGACAAAAATATGGGAATCCTAGCAGGAAGTTTTCTCAACTTCTGCAAAGACTACTTCCTCATCCCTCATATGTTCAACGTGGAGGTTCTAGAAGGGATCCTATTTTCAATCCTCACTCCTTTGCATGTTGAAGAATCAGAGTATTTTACTGACCATAAACTCGTGGGCCAGTGAGAAGGAGATAAAAAGAAAATCTCAAGCAGCTATGAATTCATATCAGGCGAACCTGAGATTTTGTTGCATGAATTCCTGTTTATTATAGGAAAGATTGCTTACAAAACAGTAATCGCTTCAGAAGCAGAAACTTTAGAAGATAAACTCAAGGTTTTCTTCTTTGAAAAGCTGAAGTTCCCTTCTATAGAAAATCCCATTGAGTATGCAGTCCAACTTCTCAGTGGAGAAATAGACCCAGAAGAAGACCTTTATTCGAGTGATGAAGATTTAGAATCTGAGCAGCTAGATGATCCACAACAGAAATTACTCGAGTTCATTGAAAGGAGAACTCAACAAGACGAAAATTTTGTACTTGATTATGAAGAGGTCCTACAAGAGCTAGAGTTATCGTTACCTCCACTCCCAGAGAAGCCAAAGGTGGTTCAAGAGAACCCTCCACCATACATTCAGCCAAGGATATTATTCGGGAAGCATCTCCCAAAGCCAGAAGAAGACGACAAGGACAAATAAGAAAAAGCCTCAACCAAGGAGGCAGAATAATCGTAAGAAAGATGAGAAGCCTAAGAAAATATATCCGTTTGAAGAGTATCCTCCAAAACCTCGGGAGCCTGACAACCTATATCATTTTGACAACCTCCGAAATGAGATGAATGAGAATATATTCCCTACACATTACAATGCTTTGCAGTGTAATCCTGGTGTAGGGCCCTGCATTATCAAAGAGGTGCTTTTCCCACCAGAAGCACCACAAGAATTCGCGACTCTCATCGAAAGCGCCCTTGTCTACCAAAACACTGCTAATTATGATATGGCCCTCGAAACATTTGAAAGGTGCAGAGATGAGTGGAGAAAAGCAGAATCTGGCGATGACTGGAAGAAAAACGAGCAAGAAATCAAACCTCTTAGACCTGAGATCGAGCTCTTCTTCGAGCTCAGCCTTGGATCTGTCTATGAATCTGCTGGAAGGGATGAACTCGCCCTTTCCAAGTATCTAAGTGCGAAGAATATAAAATTGGTGTATAATCATCCAGACCAAGCTTTCCCATATTGTGGAATTGGAAGCATTCTGTTTCATATGGAAGAGCCCGTCTGGGCACTTCGAGCATATCTCAAAGCAAGAGAAATTAGAGAAGAAAGACTTGGAGGAGATACAGTTGATACAGCAACTGTCTATAATAACCTAGGATGATGAATGCTCACAATCGAGAGAAACCAAGAGGCTTGCGCATTCTTCGAACTTGCAGAAGCAATTCTGGAAGTTGAATTGGGATCTCAACATGAAAGAACTCTCACTGCAGCTCGGAATGTCAAAAAGGCGAAGCGTACAGTTCTCAACATCAAGCCTGAGTATCCTCCGCTATGGAGCTTTGCTGCTTTAAATCCGAACCCAAAGCTCACCAAGAAGAAGAAAAAGAAGGGAAAGAAAAAGAAGAAATAAATAATCCAATTCAATTAAATCTAAATAAAAGGGGTTTTGGGGTTTTGGGGTTTTGGGGTTTTGGGGTTTTGGGG